GGACGAAGGGAGGACATCTGACTGAGCTGGGAGCAGCTCTCACTGGTGCCCATATTTGGGGATGCGAAATTCTTCTAATGGTGCGAGTCTATTAGCGAAATATCTGCACCGACAAGGTGGTTTTCTCACAGATCAGTTTACAAATCGGTCCTTGGAGTACTGAACCAGTTGGATTCGTTTTCCAGAGCGGCAGTTTTTAATGGTTGGCGCACGGATCCACTGAAAAGGGGCGTTGAAAAGATGACGTCCTCAGCAATTTATAAAACTGTCATAAGCCACAACATACGGCGACACGCGGAAAAGTTCGATAGCCGTAGTGGCCCTATGGAAAATCCTACTGAATAACAAAAATATTAGGCCAACCGTGGTACACCTACGGAAATGGTTGATCAAAACGATGATCCAGGCGTGGAGATTCGGTTGGAGACACTCTTTGCTACCTTAGCATCAGAGGGCTAGGAAAGAGTGGATCCTACATCGAACATATACTGCCAACATTTCACCCCATTTTAGGGTAGGGCCATATGGCGCGGCAGAACTGGTCGCCTGCGAATCTCCAGTTTATGAACATTCTCCGCAAGGTGGGTCGAACGACCTCAGAAAAAAGCAGACTTTGTCTTGCTTTACTTTCAAATTGAACGCGTCGCCATTACGCTGTAGATGTTGATCTTCTTCAGTGACCCTAGTATTACTGGGCGGCGGTTCCCAGCGCAAGGTCACTCTCGTGCTCCACCAATATTCTCGGAAGGGTCGAATTGGAAGAGCGGTGTCAGAACTCCCAAATCTTCAAGCTATTCCACTGCTCCCAGTGGATTCGATAGCACACTCCACATCACTGGTGAGTAATGCTGGTTGATCACTGTAAGTAACTGATAGAAATCAGAAGAAAAGTGACGGTGTCACAACGTGTTTGGAGCTGGGACACAGAGCATGGAAGACAAAAAGTTTCCCAAATCTTACGACTCTACAGATGCCTCACTTAAGCATCTTATCAAGTCGGATACGCTCTGACAAATAGCGACTAAACTTGTCCAAATCCATTCTCAGTGGCGCTGGGTAGAGCAGTGAGATTGCCAGTCGAGGGGTAGTTGGAGTGTGGGTCATCTTCAAATAAAAAGCCAACCCCGGAAAGAGTGAACCACAGGTTCGCCGAGGATTGAGAGAGCGTACCCTCGCCTATCTGCTGATTGATTTTCTATGTTGAAAATTCCAAACGGAAGTGACGAAGAAAGAATCTAAAAAAATATAGATTCTGGAAAAAAAGGTTAACAGCCACGGAAGCAGCGAGTAAGTGGGTTCACTTGCCTCCAAGTAGGATAATGGTAAGGCATCTCGAAACATGTTTCACGCCTTCAAAAATTCACCTGAAATTTCATAGCAATATGTGTGACGAGTCGCTAATTATGAACAGCCTAACATACACAGCACACCAAAATGTCGAAAAGAAACTCGCCGCGGGGGGGGTTCGGAAAAGCTTGACAATCAGCTGGCAAAAAATGTCCTCAACGTTCAAAGAAACTTTCTATTCCTCATCTAAAGAAAACAACTTCGATTGATCGGCTTCGAAGATTGATACACTGAGAAACATAGAGAAAATCACCCAGTGAGGGTGTTGGCTCGTGGCCTTGACGTTCACAACACAAACCACTGAGCCCGACTAAACATCCGAAAATAGCGGTGATGAATTCCTGTGCAGATGAACGCCCTGTCAGAGCAAGCCAGCCGGAGAAACCCTTCAGTCGCTTCCTTATCCACAGACCTGAATCGTGTCCTTTTCCTTTACATAATAAACTGATCAGTCCATATTGTTACATATCACCATATGGCCCCATAATCCACGTAACACGGAAAGCCGCATAAGAATAAAAGTGAACAAGACCTGACCATCTCAGTGACGCTGAAGTTGAAAACTTCTA